CGTTGTAAGTCCGCAGACATACCGCTGTACCACTGGGGGGCATTTTTTAAATATGGAACTGAAAAACTTTATTTAATAGTATTTGTAATTTCATTATTAAGGATCAACATTGTTTTTTGTAATCTTGAAAAATCATTATACACTGCTGAAGTTTACCATTACATCAAATAATTCAGATAATTAGATTAGAGAAACTAAAATTAATATTTATTTCATCTTTTTTTCAAGTCAACAAAGTTTCCTTAATAACCTCATGTTGTGGAAACTAACGATATAATTTATATTTTTATTGGATTTATCATATTGTAATTACTAAGCCATGTTTTATTAATTAAGATTATTAGAAATATTTTACTGAAGCGTCACAATTTGTTTTTAATGAACAAATTATCCTAGCATTTTTGAAAGTATTTCACAATTAAAAGTAAACATCTTGAGATTAATATGTTTTTTATATGGCTGATAAAATGTTTGTTTGTTTTGAATTTCGCGCAAAGCTACACGAGGGCTATCTGCGCTAGCCGTCCCTAATTTAGCAGTGTAAGACTAGAGGGAAGTCAGCTAGTCATCACCACCCACCGCCAACTCTTGGGCTACTCTTTTACCAACGAATAGTCGGATTGACCGTCACATTATAACGCCTCCACGGCTGAAAAACGCGAGCATGTTTGGTGGGACGGAGATTCGAACCCGCGACCCGCAGATTGCGATGCGAGTCGAGCCCCTTAACCACCTGCACATGCTGGGCCCCTGATAAAATGATCAGCACATTTTTCTTAATGAGATTTATTGTCTAAACAAACCAATGAGATTTATTGTTTAAACAAACCAATGAGATTTATTGTCTGAGCAAACCAATGAGATTTATTGTCTAAACAAACCAATGAGATTTATTGTCTAAACAAACCAATGAGATTTATTGTTTAAACAAACCAATGAGATTTATTGTCTAAACAAACCAATGAGATTTATTGTTTAAACAAACCAATGAGATTTAGTTTATATTTTGCTTTTTTAAAAGAAGGGCAATCATTTTCACTGATAATGATTCTGGGAAGACGAATCTCGAGAAAATAGGAGTAGACAAACTATGTTGTTCAGTTAAAATTTCTATTCATTTCGAAAGATACACTGTAGAAAAAGTCACATTTAATGACACTAATGGAACTGCACTCCGTCTTTACAGTCTTTATGAGCTCGATATATACTTATATGTACAGAGAAATAAAGAATTACAAACCTCATTTCCAATGGCATATAAAACTCCAGGACCAGGGTCAAAAGCTAAAGACACAGGCTCAAAATTATCACTAAACGTAAATGGTGGATATTGTAGTAGCTTTTTATCTTCTTGGACATCAGTAACAGGCTGGACCTTGACTTTGGTCTGGTTTGTCTTTCGAAAAAAAAACAAAAAACCGGGTAGTAACGTTTGTATGCACAAATAGTTCAGCTTACTCACCTGTATACAGTTATGCACAGGTTTAATGAATGGCATTCTTTAACATCGACCTACCAGAGTTCACACATGCTAGTGTTACACATATCATGAGTCAATATATCTTGTTAATGCTGTAACAGTTGATTTTATCACACTCACAGTTCACATGTGCTAGTGTTACACATACTACTGGTCAATTTATCTTGTTAATGCTGTAACAGTTGATTTTATCACACTCACAGTTCACACGTGCTAGTGTTATACATACCATGAGTCATGATATTACGCAGTTTTTTTGTTAATTAAGATAAAGCTTATAATTATTTTTCAGATCCAACAGTTAACCTACCAGAGTGGTGAAAAGAATTGAAAACTTAGACGTCTGGTGAACATGAACAACGGAAAGAATCTGTTTGGCATCGTGGAAAACAGAGTCACTCAGTGGTAGAGCTCTCCACTCACTATAAGGTGGTTTGCCATAGAACACTTTGTTTACTAGCTGTAAAAATGTACGATAATTCTCACTGTTATTTACTTACCATGTAAAAAAAAAAAAACAACAACAACAAAGGTCCCTATGTTACGCGCGGTATTTATTTCGTTGGCTTTACAGCGTTGGCAGGGATGGCGTGCGTGGGCGTCATTAGCCATTC